AAAAGTGGTGCAATTGCTACCTAGCTTGTAACAATTAATTGTCTGATCATAAGCAGTAATCATTTTTTCAGAAAAAAAATCTTAATTATCAGAAGTTCATTACATGGTTACCAGTTTTGTGCTTCATCAACTATGCAGTAGGTGTTAAGTTCATGATCATGCCAGCACTAATGTACTTAAAGCACTAATTAATCACTTTGGTAATTCATATTAAGTCTATAAAAAATAACTCTCAAGTTAAGATTAAGGTATGAGTAGACGATATCTTCTTAAGATTCTATTTGGAGAATTACCCGAATATCTTGTTTCTGTAGATTGATTTCTTAAAAAGCACTTGAATAGGCTCTACTTTTTTATTCGATCAAAGACTCATCATAATCTTTGAATTCAAACTCATCCAATGCTTAGTGTATACATATAACATCTATTTATATATGGAAAAACTATGTATCCTAATGTTATTTTGTTTTATTTTTCAATCTGATGTCTACTAATTAATTAAAAGCTCAACTGATTCGATTTCATTCGAAAAGTCCCACTTCTAAGAAGGTGTAAGATTTTCATAATTTCAAAAAAGTAACTAATTTACCGGCTCGAACACAGAGATCTGAACTCTAATAATGAATTCAGAATTACTTACTCAACCATCACTATATTTAGTCTATTACCACTTATTAGTTGCATCAATTATTAATGTACGATTTGCGACAAACTTCAAAGACTTTAACCTTGCAAGTAAGTTAGCTAGTTCATGGGGGGATTGTCAATCTGATCTATATAAGCAAATTATTAGTCTATTTGTCAATCAATATGAGACTCTAACTTTCATCCTAACATGGATAATATTTGAATTTTTTTTTTTGTTGTTGTTGATGTGAAAATTGATCATGGGAAAGAGAATGAAGCATAGTTTTCAAAGTTGCATATAAAATCAGGCTTTTAAAAAGGGGTCCCCAAAATCAAACCAACTTTATTCATGTAATTAAAAGGTTTCTCGAGCTACTCAAAAGCCTCTCCCTTCCTCCCTCCTTCACCCTCTCTGGACTCTGCAGCAAATGTTAGTACTCTTTTTTTTTTTTTTTTTATCTTTCAAAGTCAATATTGAAGGCTAACTAAATCTGAATCGCACACTATAGGATTCAGAATTCATTCAAAGAAGGCGCTCTCAAAGTAAAAAATCTTTATACTCAAAACTTAAATTTGAGATATCTCATTATGGGTGAAACAATCTCACGACTACACCACACTAGATATTGATATGTTAGTACTATTAATGAAAAAGAAAGGTCAGAAAAGAAGAGAAGTTTCAAAAACCTGCCCACCCACCCTATTCCCTGTTTGAAGGGTATAGAATAGGTGGGGGTGTTACAGAAAGAGGTGAAAACAAGACGTCAAAATAATTTTATTAGGTTCAGTAGTCACTATACGTCTGATTTTGGGGACATGTATAGATTGCGTGGATCGAGGATGAATAAATGATAGTGTAATGATGGTTAAATTATTTGACATTCTTCCTCTTTCTTCCTGCTACACCATCCTATCCTATGACCTCTCCACGTACGGCTATACCTTATCTATAATTTATTTATTATTTATTCTGTCCAGCCATATTTATTTACGGCTAATTTTATATATTCTTAAAAATTATAAATATAATTTTTTTAAAAAATATAATAGAGTATTATATTACTTTCTCATCTTTAGGCTTCTTTTGACTTGCTTACATAAGTAAGTAAAAATAGATAGGGAATTATACGCCCTATTAGATGTTTTACTATTTTTATTTTGTACTACGCACTTGCACAAATTAGAGTACCACTTGGGGAAAAAAATTGGCCCCTCACTTTATAAATCATGTCGTCTTTTTTGACATTGTCAAGATTTCTCGTTATTGTTCATCCAAGTAATGAAAATGAAAAGTCCTTTCTATAAGCTTTTACCAAACAACTTCATTGTATAAGTTTATTAAATGAATATGAAATGCTTAAGGGGAAAAAAAGTAGAGGTGGACTAAATAAAATGTTATGTCATATTTTACTCGCCATATATTAATAGGGTGACTTTTAAAGAACATTTATCAATAGTTTAGTGATTTTTTAATTTCTGATTTACTATCTTCCATTTTCTTAATCTTCGTGTGTCTTGATTAGCAAGGGTGGAGCTACGTTGCATTGAAGGAGTTCGTCCAAAACTTCTTCGGCAAAAAATTATATTATTTATAAATAGTTAAAAATAAGTTTATAATAGATGCCAAACCCCCTTCGACTATCTATTTCTATATATTATAAACCTATTAGTGAAAATTCTGGTTCCGTCTTTGTTGTTCAGCTAGCCACAAGTATAAATGCTTGATTATAGTCTTGAAGGGAAATTCATAGCTAGTGTATCTATTTATTGCTAATTTTTGAGAGCAGGTTGTCAAATGTTTTTCAACAAGCTTATATATTTACCTAAACAGTGCAAGTGACCTAAAAGATAGACAAGAGAACCTACCATTACCCAAATTAAATGCAAAATGAATATTGCAGCTTTATCCATGGACTCAGTTTGAACTGTGGAAATTACACTCTTCAGCTAGTTTGACCGGTCAAAAAAATTAAAGAAATAAAAGATATTAAGATTTTGGTGATTTTAAATATATTAAGGCTATTTTGTAGCAATAGAAGCATGTGCTAAAACGTAAACGACTTACTTGATCAGCCGAATAAATACAAAAATAATGTAATTTTATTTTACTTGATTACTTGTTTTTACTTATCCATTCTAATAGATCAAAAAAAAATTTATTTTAATTATATGACTATCTCTAAAATTTATCGGAGTACTAAATTAATATTTTTAAGAGAAGAGTACAAATTATACTGAACAATTAATAAGAAACTGAGGGGTATAAAATATGAAGGATGTAATGATACATTTAGTACTTACTAGGAAACTTATAGTACGATTTCGGAGAAACTAATTTGACAGTATTATTTAATATTCGATTATAAAATATCATAACATTGAAATTAATTTAACAGTATTATTTTTAGTGATTATAAAATATCATAACACCTGAACTTGAACCCCCATCATTTAACACAAATCTTGTCCCTCGTCCCAACCAAAGATCCAACCTGACCCCAACTCAGGGACCAACCTCAACCCCAAGGGTCAGGAGTCGGGGTGAGGACTCAAGTCCCAAGTCAGGTTTGAGAGTCGGTCCCAAATTAGGGTCAGATCATGGTCAGGAGTTGAATTTTGAGTCATTCCGTAGAAAAGAACTAATATATTAATTAGAAAAGGGACATATTTTATCCATGGTATTTTCGAATCAAACTATTAGAGTATAGGGTATTTTTGGACCGAACTATTGACATAAGGGTAAATTCTAGACCAAACTCTTAACTGAAAGTATTTTTATTCAATTTCTCATAGGATTAAGGGCATTTTTGAAACTATTTTCATTCTAACTTCATATATGAGAGTTATTTTTCTTAGATTTTTTAATGATTGTGGTGTCAAGGTCAGCTTTTGCGCATCTCCACTTATTCCACGGATACCTATCACGTCCCAGGCTCCCACCAACAACAAATATATACCAGATAACTCAGTCCATCAATATTATGACAGAAATAAGTTTTTGCTTAAATAATATATTTTAAAATAATCAAACATGAAAAAGTTAAAAATCAATTTAAAATATCGAAACAGACCCTCACTCTTGTGACCTTTTCTTAATTAGTAGTTCAAGTCTCTAGCCTCATTCTGTGATCCACAACTCTAAAAATCAATTTAATTAAATTAAGTAGGAAATTGGAGTATGTATTAACATCAATCTATAATTTTCCCCCTTTAATTTAGGGTTATATAAAGTTTTGTCCAAAAGCAAACAACAATTTTATTCTTTACTATAGCTAGTAGTGTCAGTGTTTTTTTCTTTAATCTTTTGGGTGGGGGACCTCTGATAGGAAGGTGGGAGGATATTGGAACTAGTAAAGAATTTTGAATGAAGTACTATATAGACTATAGTAGTAAAGATAGTGATAAAATTAAAGGAAAAGGTATATTATTCACATAATGAGCATAAAAAGGGAATATGGTAACATCCTTTTCTTCTTTTCATCTTGTCCTTTTCTTTTTGTTATCTTACATTTCTTATAACTACATCTTTTTTTTAGCTCCTTTACCACTAATTCTTTTCATCTTTTCCTACTTCCCCCCCCCCCCCCCCCCTTATTGTGATAGTGTAAACCATGTGACAATTAATACTTTGGAATAAATAGAGAAAACTTTACTCACATCTAATATTTATACACTAATTTAATAGGTAAATGACATGAGACGTTACATAAAATGGTAAAAGGTTTAATTTACCATCACATGTTATTTACTACAATCATGGAATACATAGATGGGAAAAAGTGCATATGAGTATGGGATTTCGGTATCGTTATTTAATTTATATTTTTTTGTAAAGTTATTTTGTAAGTTTGTTTAAATTCATAAACAATTTCTAAAAATTTCATATGGGTAAAGTTCAACCACATAAGGCAGAAGTTTGGGGTTTTTTTTTGTGTCGTCTCAATTTAGCAATTTTCTTGTTTGAACTTCAGTCATATATGCCTCGTGATTATACTTTGGTTATTTTTTCTTAAACTTCAGCTATACGTGCTTAAGTTTAATTATTATTTTTATTTCGATCTTCTCAGTTTAAAGTTTGCACATGTGAAGATGGTTGACGAAATAATACATGAATTTCACCCATAAAAACTTTAAATATTGATTCTTTTCAAGTCTAATTTATTTCGGACATCGCAAAAGATTTAAAAAATGATTCCATCGGATACAATAACTTTTAGCTCGAACTTGAATACATATTAAGAAATTTGACTACTTCAATTATTTACTGTTTCACGTATTTATTTAATACTATTGATAATACGAGAAAAAAATAATAAAATTTCTTAATATACTAAAATTGAAAATATATCAAGTGAAATGGAATAAAGAGAGCATATACTAAGCCATTTCTTTTCTTTAAAACATTATAAAATAAAGTAAGTCATGCAATTACCAAGGATAATTAAAAAGATAACTTCCTAGATACTAGTTACAAAAAGAGAGGGGGAAAAAAGGTCTCTTTTTTCTTTCTCCCTCTAATGACTACTCTAATAATACACAAAATCAATTAGATTTCATATTCTTCTCTCTCTCTCTCTCTAGAAAAAAGAATAAAATAAGATATTGTTTGATGTAGATGACTCACATATTTTCCCCCTCCTTCTCCTTATGCCTTCTTCCTGTCTTTTTTGTCTCCTTGTCTTTCTTTTGCTTCTTTTTTTTTCTCTTCTTGTGGGTACCTGATTCTCTTGTTACTTTTTTTTTTTTAACTTTTGCCTTGTCAGAAATTATAATGATTTCAAAATGAGTACTACTTAATAACTTATCTGCATGCAATTTATTTATTTTATATTACTCTCAAGGCCTTCCCAAAGTGAACTCCAAATTAGGCTTCTTTGGACTTGTCTCTGTTATACTTGAAGAGCTCACTTCTCCTGATAATCTATCATAGCTTAAACATTTTGCTTCCAAATCTATATGCTGATTTTTCACTGTTTTCTGGGTAAATTAATAAAAAAAAAAGTGAATCAATATACATATAGTACTATACACAATGTAAAATGTGCAAATAAAGGGAGCAAATAGTTCGATGCACTAAACATCTAGCTATGCATAGAGTCTGGGAAGGGTAACTAGCTAGGGGGAGTACAACAATTATTACATGAAGGAAATAATATGACATTAAAATGTTATTCTTTATAGTATTTTTACATCCATATTATAGAAATTACCAATTATTACATACTCTAAGCAATATATTATAGTGAAATTAAAAAAAAAGACATCTTTTTAGGAAAGAGTTCCTCACTTTAGTTTGAAATGGCTTTTGAAAAATGAGTTATGCCTTATCTTTTGTAAAAACTTTGGAATCCTTTCTAGAATGATATGTCATTCTATTTTTATTTAGGTTATAATCACAAGTCAATCCAAATTACTATACGGATTTAACTTATATATACTCACTATTACCAACAGTATCATTTTTAACATGTTATATCAGATAGTCCGTCTCAATTTCTAAATAACTAAATTAATCGTTTCACTTATTATGAATCGTAACTTTGTAGCTAACTTTTTGGTTAATTATTCAAATATATAATTTTTATTTCAAAAAATTTAAAGCTTCTTTACTATGTATAAATTTACGATAAAAGATTTAAAAGTCTGAATTTCGAAATGAAGTTGAGTAAGTTAGTACCTCAAGAGATGGGATGTTCCCAGGGTAGTCACCATGTTTGCCATGCAGCTGCCAACTTTCTCTGCTACAAAAACCATAGCAATTGAATAGAATATTTTGAGTCAGTGGAAGCCATGCATGCAAAAGAAAGAAAAAGCAGACTTAAGGAAAATGAAAGCCATCTTTTTTATAAATTACACTCTTATTTAAAGCTTCCTATCTTTTTCTTTTCTATCTTTCTTCACTTAAATTATGATATATGACCCCTTTTTTGCTTAAAGTTGCCACCACACATGTGATGTGAAAGCCACATTTTAACTACTCAAAATTAAAACCAAACTTCAAGGAAGTTTTCAAAAAATAGTCATACACCTTTAACCTTTGGTACCAAATTAAGTTTAAAATTTAAATTTCTACATATGGGACCATTTTATTACTAGCTAAATTATTATTATTTTTTTCAACTTTAGCACAAATTTTTAGGTCCTCTTTGAAATAGTTATGTGAGCCCACAAAATCCAAAAGAAAGAGATATGTTCATTAGTTAATTCCTAGACTAATTTTGACATATATGGTAAACATATATTTCCAAATCTTTGAATTTCTCATATTATATTCTTCCTTAATTTAATTATCATTTTCATCCGTTGTTGCCGACAAATGGAACATAGCAAGATTATAATTCCTTCCCTCTTCTTCGAAATTGCGTAGACGCATATACATCGCCATTTTCATATCTAAACTTCTGATCTTACATCGGATATATTATTATTCTTTTTTTCTGATCATCTTTTAAACATACATATGCTACTACTTTTTAAGATGCTCTGGCTTACACTTTAAAGGAGAATCACTTGTCATTCCTGGCTATGATATTTTCAGATTATAAAGTTTTAAATTCTTTTAAGATTTTCAATTGTGTAGTCTATAACTTTCACCTTTGATTCCTCTCATGGCCCTTTTTGTTTCTTTTTTTAACTTCCTTTTAAGTCCATCCAAATAAAAGACCTAACAAGCCACAAATTTATTCTCTCTTTTTAATTTTTCTAAAAAGAAGTCCAGCTAAGTATAATAAAAATAATACTAAACAAAACAAATCTTATGGCCTAGCTAGTGGACACTTCTTTTGTCTGATTTGTTAACTTTGAAGGAATACAAATTAAGAGTTCTCACGTCATACGTGGGGTTCTCAATTTTCCTTTTTTATGTTTTCCTATCATCATTAGGATCAAATTCATAAAACTATCTATAGTATAAACATGTCAAGTTACACAATACTACCAATATTTAAGTGTACATATTAGCAGTGACGAAATTAGAATTTTAATTTATTAAAGATATATGTATTAGCAGTGACGAAATTAGAATTTTAATTTATTAAAGATATATGTATAACAAAAGTAATTTTTGAACAATATATACAGTGTAATTTTCCGTTCTTACCTCGAAGAGTTGCTCCAAAGACCATGATAATCTATCTCTTGAAGATGCATACTATTTTTGCCTTGTTGATCAGATAAATCAGGCTTTTTTGAATTTTCCATGTCAGGCATTAAATCCTCTGAAGTTTCCCCAGAAGACCCATTATCGAATACCTCAGATTGGCCTAATTAACAAATTCACATTTAAAAGAAAATTAATATTATAATTTCTTTATATGTAAATTTTTTATTTTTTTTTATGAAGTACAAATTAAATTAATGATATTATAATGTGATGGATATATATAAACCTGAAGAAGCTGGAACTGCTGCTCTATCGGTAGTCTTGACCGTCCTATACATCTGAAAATTATACATTGATTTTCACAGTTTATGTTATACATTTTATTAACATGAAACCAAATATTCAAAAATTATTTATGAATATACGTAATCTTGAAACTAAGATATGTTACTTGCTATAACGACAGTAGATTTTGATTAGCATATATATTATGAATGTACTCAAGCTCTGGAGCACAAAAATACATAGTACGTTCTAGTATGTATTATTACAGCTATATACATAGAAAAAGAAAAGAAAAATGTAAAGAGACAGTGAATAGGCCTTTTCTAGTACTGTAGACAAGGTAGCTTGATGGATACAATTCTTAGTAAAGTACTTCCACATAAATCATGATGACTAACTTTTTGCTTGTATCCCATCTACTTACCATACATATGTGTCCATGGACCATGCACCACATTTTCACACATAAACACATGTACATTCACAACTTAACTTGCACACATATACACTTTGAGTGCGCTGAGTAACACTTAAATATTTTATACAGATTTAAGTGTCTACTTGTGCATATCCAAAGTTAAAGATCATAGTTATCATCTAACAAGTTAAAAGGTATTTATATATTATTCCTTAGTGATTTTACGCACTTTGACACATAAGCATATGCATAGATAAAAATGTAGTTACAACTTACACACGGAAATATCAAACATTTTTAGTATTAAAGTGTACGTTTGGTGTGTTAAAATCCATAAAGATGAGGTATCATTGGGACATGATTGCGTTGTACTTATTTTGGATAGAAAAATGACATTATTTTATTACGAGTATCTCCAACTTCCAAATCCTTCTAAATTACCGGAAGTCTTAGTTACTACTCTAAATTTAGCTATTTGATAATCTTTATTCCCATACCATCTCATTCTAAGATAGTGAGATAAACATAATATTACTAAGATATACATTTAAAATAAATAGTAAAAGTCTGATTTTTCGCTTCTATTCATTTTTACATGCCTTAAAAAGAGAGTACAATCACTCTCTTTGTCACATAAGGTAAAGAAAACACGTCTAAACAGTTTAGAGTGATCTTTAGATATTTCGCACTAATTTATTAGTTATCTCATTTAAGAGTGTCTAAACTTGTCTGGCTAAGCTGCAACCCACCCACCCACACTACCCACCCCCACCTTGTACATTCTTTGGTATTTTGTCTGTCTCTAATATTGTATTATTGATGAATCATTATGAAAAAAGACTCTTTTCCCCTCTGTTATTGAACCCCTTTTATTTTTCTTTCTTTATTATTACCATATTCTTCTACTACAACTACTACTGCTACTACGTACGTACTTAGATAAATGGTTCATTCTCCAAAGCAAAATAAAACACATTATAGCCTTTGCAGAACCATCAGATCTATTTTCTAGACTAGGCTAGCTACCTAAGTATAGAATAAAAAACAAACAAAATTGAATTTTTTTTTAAAAAAAAATATGTTACATTGGAATTTGAAATGTCTGTTAATTTTAGACATTTTTCTTCTAATAATGTTAAGAATTAAACTTTTGCGAAGACTCCAAACTATTGTTTGCACCCACAGGAAATTCAAACTAGCTAGTAGTATTAAAATTCTACAATCAACAAGAAAATGAGTTGAAAAAATGTACAAAATTTTACCTGTAGATGGGATTTAACATGTGCCAAAGTGAGATCTTTCACATCCATTAGCTCAAGAACTGATTTGGGTGTTGCTCCTAAAAAATCCCCAAAAATAAATGAAATTAGTTAATTTGCATAATTGAATGGATATTACTTCAAAGATAAAATCTCATATTTTTTTATTTAAAAATAAAAAATTGGTGGTAGGGGAAGGAGAAATTGGGAAATCTAACTCTCACCGACAAAATGAAAATTCAGATAATCAGTTGAACACTCAATAAACATAATTTAATTTAGTTTTGCATATGTATTTATGGATCAAGATGAAAGCAATAACAAGTTCCTATGAACCCTCAACGATGAGTCATACTGTTGCGATCAACTAATATTCAGCCCTTTATCACTCTGATCGGTGAAAAAGGAAAAAACAAAGTACTACGAGATAGAAAAGAAGCCTACTTTCATGGCCACCCAAGAGCTCAACAGCATGAACAAATCTGGCATGAAGACTACTAGTCCATCGCATACGTGGCGCTCTCATGGTACGTTTAGGGAACCTTGATAAAAATCTAGATCGCATTAGCCCACCTTGATGATTAGAATGATGAAAAGGGATAGTTGTTGGTGAGGAATTAGGTATAGTTTTGTTACTATTGTTACTAAAACTACTAATACAATATCCAGAAGAATGTATAGGTAATGTAGGTGTTGTTGTAGGAGCAGTATTTTCAAAGGTTTGGTGAGCAAATATTGGGTAGTTATTATGATGATGAGAAAGAGGAAGAGGAAGAGGAAGAGGGTTTTGATTGTACAATGGAATTCCTCTTATAGGTCTCATGATATTAAGTTGTTGTTGATTTTGTTGGTGGATGAAATTTGTGTTTTGTAGGGGATGAAAATGGGAAGAGTTAATTAGTTGAGTATGATGAGAAGGTTTATAATTAGGATTAGATAAAGAAAGCTCAAAAAGAGTATTGTTGTTATCAGGTTTTGATTCTAAAGCTCTTCTCAAGAAGAATAAGTCCATCTCATCTCTATCAATATTGTTATTATTACTACTCATAGCCTTCCATGTTGTTGTTGTTGTTGTTGATGATGATGATGATTTGTTGTTTGGAGGACTTATTTGTAAAGATAAGTCTGGTTGTGCTGGGAATAGCTCCATGTATATACTTCTTCTCTTTCTTTGCGCTAGCGCGCTGCGCTTACTAGTAACTTATGTTATCTTTGTGTTGATCAAAAGAAAGGTAGTAGTAGTAGTACCAAGAAGGAATTTGAGATTGAGTTTTTGAGAGAGAGAGAAATGACAAAGGATGAAGATGAAGTGAATGGTTGTTTCTTTTGTGTGAAGTATATGTGAGAAAATGACACTTTGAGAGGCTAATGTGGGGTAAGGGGGTGTAGGGGGGTGGGGGTAGGGGGTAAAGAGGAGATTGTTCCTTTTTGTGGACGTGGGGGTAAGATGAGAAAAGTGAAGAAAAGATGAAGAATAAGGAAAGTTAAATAAGTTTTTGGTGAAGGAAAAAAAAAAAGTTTTGGGGCTTTGTTTTCTTTTTTACTTTTTCTTTTTAACCCTAAGGTCCCTAGTATTCTTTATGGAAAGAAAAAGGAAATTTATTTTAGTGTAAGCTTTAACCTATGCATTTGTCGCTTAATACTAATTAACTTTCTAATTCAACAAAGCTATATATTCACTTGACCTAAATATGAAGTACTACATGTTCCACTCTTAATTGTGTGAGTTCAATTCCTTGTAGTTACTGGTCCTAGTTTTAAAATATTTTTATATTCTATACGATTAACTCTTGAATCGTTATCTCTCGTGTTCTATTATGAATATTTAAATTATGTGCATAGGAGTGTGTGTATATGACCATTATTATAATGTTATAAGTTAATTTATTATTTGTATGACCATTATTATAAGGTTATAAGTTAATTTATTATTTCAGAAATTTATCTATAGATGTTTTATAAATAATATAATCATTCAAACTTTTTATACCATCGCTATATAGAAATTTATCTATAGATGTTTCTATCTAATCATATGAATTTATTATGTTAAGTGAACAATTAAGAATAAGAATGTGTATTAATTATTAATTGTATGATTTAGTGATAATACTGATCAATGACTACGTGAATTGCTTAAATAATCTCAATCAGCAATTTTTTTTGCCCCTTTTAACTCCTTCCCACAACCAACCCTAAATTTCTAGATCTTACAATTAATATGAAATGATTCAACATAAATTTGGACCTACTAATATTAGACTGTAAATCACCTAATTATGGTAACACATTTGGTTAATTTCATTTGGATAAGACACAGCTTAAAAATTATTTGCCGCTTCGTTTTTACACTAAAATTTATTTCCTACAAGTTCACTGTACTTTGGAAAGGCCTCAGCCAAATGGTCCTTCACATTAAAGTCAATGAAAAAGTTAAAAACTTCAATTTATCTTATTCTTTGGCCCTTCAATTTTAATGGACTATTTTACTTTGCTCCAAATCATTTTGAACTTATTAGGATATAACAAATTATCTTTAAATGTAACTTTTATTCTAATATTTAGTTATTCTACCACATTTTCTCAAATATTGAATTACTTTTTTGAAAAAACAAATCATTATAATGTGCACGTACGCATTCTCTTAGTTCTTTTCTTAAAAAAAAAAATCCACTAATGAGTGTTCATGGTCAACACAAAAAAAAAACTATATTTAGTCAAATTATTAATGGAATTAAATAGACCAGACTCAGCATGACATGAAATGCTTTTTGGTTAATGAATTGTATCAATAAATAACGGGATGAGTACGTTTTGGATCATTTAATCATCTAATTCATAAAACTATGTATAAAGTGTGTAGATAATATATATTTCATATTAATATAATATGATATATATCTAAACATTAATGGTATATATATTACGTATATTTCGATCATATTAATAAATTAGTTGATTAAAGGATAATATTCCTAACTCTCTCATAAATAATTTGTCAAATACTACCATTCTCAAAATTGATAATTAAATTCAATACAAAAAGAAAATGTAATGGGACTCCAACTATTTTTGCCCAAATAGAACACACATCATGATTGGTTTTACATTGAATTTAATAATCAAATTTGAGAATGGTAGATTAATTTTTGTATATATATAGAGGTATGAACACATCCATCAAATTGGAATAACTCCAAAATTTGACCTACCAAAATTGTATTTTATTCTTAGAGATTGAGACATGTAGTACGTAGTGTCGTCTCAACGATATATATACTTACAAGATTTCATATTTTTCCTGGTGTCTTTTTCCCTTAACAATCCAAGATTGCCAAATTCAAATGGTTTCTTAGTTTCGAAATTTTTAAAAATTATTAAGAACGTCAAAATCCGAATGCTTTAAAACCAAAATGCAAAACAATAAAGTTTATTCAAAATTGATCAAACAAGTTATCTTTGTTCTCATTATGATTGCGATTGAAATTCTTAATTGTTTAGTTGATTTACCATCTGAACTTTAATTTACATTGTTGATGATGGTTGAATTTTCAATATTTATAAAGTCCCCTTCACAACCCCCAATTTTATGTTGGGCGGGGATGGGAGAGGGTTGATGTTTGAAAATTCATGCAATAAATTATTGCGATATTAGTTTCTAAAGCTAAGAGAAAATTGAAAAAATACTGTTACTGTTCAATAATTAATATTTATTCACTATATTAAAAAATAGATGTCAAATATTTGTCGATTTTATAAAATTCATGGATAATTTTATACTTAGTTTTTAATTTACCTTTATCATTAATTATAGTTATTTTTCTATTACATTTTTTGAGACATTGTATTTATTATATTCGAAGGGAGATATAGTAAAATTACTCTTCTATTTATAGTTTCTTAAGGAGCGTGTCAAGTCAATAGTGAACAACTATTGTTGAACAAACAAAATAATAAGAAAATGAACGATAACTTTGCTTCCTATTTTTACGTCCTTACAAATATTACATATGCATATCGATGAGCAAGACTAGACGAATTTTTAGCAACCATAATAATAACGATAATAATATATCGATAGGCAAATTATGTGGTGCCTAATTGATGGTCCATTTTGTTTACTAAACATATACATATTTGGTCCTATATATTGATTTCCTTGATGAATTGACAAGACTTTAGAATTTCGAATCAATCATTTTCTCGCAATAAGTCCATATCTAACATTTTATATGATCTCCCTAAAAGAGAAGGAAAAGAAAAGAATTACCTAAAATATTTAAAGAGAAATATATTAATTAATATTTTGTTTAGGCAATTATTTACAAGTTCTTATTTCAAGGAATATTTTCATTCTTCGTTGAAAAGAATCGTGTATATACAAAATATTCATACAAATTCAACTTACAAAAGACTTTGTGCAAAATAGTCTATGTATGTAATTTTGGGAAAATAACATGGTCTACCCAATTTATTCTTTAATTCTGTTTTACCTTTTGCATAACATAGAATCCAATTGCAATATCTTCACATGTGTGTACATATATTAAAGAATAGTAAGGGGAAAAAAAAATAAAGGGCAATTAAATATACTAGCAAAATAGAGAGAGAGAGAGATATTACTAGCAAAGTGCATATTAGTCAACAAGATTAGACTTTGAAATTATTTTATTAGCCTAACACAAATAAACTAATATGGCAAACATACACCTTAAATGCAGCTAATGTCATGTTTTTTGTTAAAAAATAAAAAATCCAAAGAAAAAAAATCATAAAAGTGTCTCTAACTTATAGACTCTATTAATAATTAGATATATAATTAATGCACGATGATTGTGCCTGGGAATTTTCATAGCAAACAGACATAAAAAAAAAACCTACCCAAGAAGATACATTCTACCCTATAGATTAAATTATTTAAAATCAAAATATTTATTTAAAACAAACTGTAAAATAATGTTAAGTCAAGATTATTTTTTGAACCCCACAATAGTTTTTTTTTTCTGGAATACGTTGAATTTATTTACCTGTTGGTTTTCCTAGGCTTCCCGGCAGCATCGTGCAGATTTATATTAAGAAAATACTTAGAAAATTTTAACCTAAAGTTAATTTTCTTTTATTTGAATATTTTATTTTATACATCAATCCCAAAAATAAATTTAACCATGAAATCGCATAAATCTAAGTGCGACAAAACACGTCCTAAATATCCAAAACTTTCATCTTTAATCAAAAAAAATTTTAACCCGTGAGTAAAAATTCAAAATGCAAATCAATATTTAGTCATACTTTAATATTAATACCGAACATATCTATTATATAGTCAACTATTCATCGGTAACGAGAAGTGTATATATTTCAAATATATATTCCTAATTGTGAAGATTTGGAATTTTTTTTAAAAATATATATAATTAGGTTGGAAGCATCCAGGTTACGTTTGTCAGTAATCAATTTGTTTTTTACTTATATTGGTTTTCCTTGTTTCACGCTAATTCTCAGCTTCCCTAGGCATTGGACAATAGAAGGAATCTTACATTAATACCGTTATTTATTTAATCATATTCTAAGCATATATGCTAATTATTTTAATGTTAGATCTCTATAGAGAACGTTATTAAATAGTTGGAGACAATATCAAGTGTGTACTCGAGCGAAGTACGTTTCATTTAATTATTTAGGTTTACATTGTTTTGATATATATTATGAGTTTCAAGAATGATTGATCTGACATACCATATATGGTGCAAATGTTGAGCAAATTCATGATATATTTTCATTTTACTTTTTAAGATAATGATATCTAAGTCAATTTTTATACATCTAGCTTGCCTACATTTATCATCTCCTACTAACAAACAACAGATATATGATATTTTCAAATTAATATAATAATTAGAAAATGGGTTTTTGGTCAATTAATATTGACTTTTCAAAGTGAAAAGAATATGTCTTTTTTTTTTAATCCAAGTTCCCGTAAAAATGAAACATAACATGACTACGCTTAGCTAGAGAGCGGAATATTTAGCAAAATTCCAATAATTATTACACTATCTTATTTTTGAGTAACATTGTCTTTTTAAACCTTATAATTAGAACTGTTAATATGGTTTAGCTCCCGAGGCCAGTCTAGTCTAACTCGCTAAAAATACTAACCCATTCATTAATTGGGATGTTTCAGGGCAGGTTTAGTCGAAGCGCATTGAATTTATGACTATTTTTTAATTACATATTAAAAAGTAGCCACTGGTTGCTTTAATTTGTTACTACATGAAGGTTTGAGTTGAATTGAGTTACTGAAATCCATAGCTCGTAAAAGTTGATACTTCTTCAAAGCTTCGGATTTGAATTTGCATTCTGTCAAAGCCTAATTTCA